ATATATATATATATATATACAGGGAATGATCATAATACACAGATCTTACATTATATTTACAAAATTTAAATCCTCAACGAACCAACCACCTGGCAGTGTGGAAGAACACTGCTCTCAAATGCATGCAGTTAACTGTGTTCCCTTCATAAACTTCACAAAAATCCAACCATTATGAAGCTCTCTGGTGAAAGCCTCCATTTAAAAGACCCTATTTCTGAAACGCCAACGTGCCTGTACTTCTGATACTTCACACAGTCTTAACCAGAACTGCTCAGCATGTCAGGAGTGGCTGGGGAAGACCATAACTTCATCTTTATCCATTACTGCCACTTCAGTTGAGCATTCAGTACATAATACTGGATGATACACTTCCTCCTCTTCTTGGTTGGACTGCACAGAGGTAGTTTCTTCACTGTGCTTCATTTTCTTACTTCTTTTCTTTACCTTCTTCCTGTATTTCAGAACCTCATCTTTGTTGACAACACAGTTCATCACAAACATCGCTCTATATTGGGTTTTGTAGGACTCATGTCTACAGAGAAGGGGAGAAAATGCAAGTCATGCCATTAGTAAAACTCTGCTTCCAAGAGATGGGTTATCATCACTGGAAATGGGATTAAAGACAGGAGGCACCGTGCCAAAGGGCTGAGCACCAGATAAATGTGAAGCTTTATAAGCATCAGGACACCAACTGTCCAGCTGCAGTTCAACACCAGGCTGCAGCTTCACAGCCGGCTATGCCAGCTCAAGAGGCGGCTGCAGAAGTCCTCTCTTGACTTTGCTGGCTTCACTGCTTGTAGAACACTGTGCTGAGCTACTGTGTTTTATCAAACCTATAAAAGACCAGTCTGACAATCAAAATGGACTGTCTTCTGTCAGTTCAGTGAACTGAAGTACCGAACTACAGAACAGGGTCAAGGAGCACCAGAGCCAGAAAAGGGAAAAGAGTAAGCAATAGCACCCGCTACTTAGGTGATTTCAGGCTGCTGCGGAATTTCACCCTCTATCACCAAAAGTACTCAATAAATGAGAGGTAGTGTATTCCTCATTTCACAAGATTTCTTTCTCCCTTATTCCCCGTTCCAGAGTCCTCTCCTTAGCACTTGTTAGCAGTGCTATCCAGGTTTGCAGCAGTCAGATACTGGAGAGCTGCAAAACACACTATGGTTTCTCACCGAAATGCTTTCCAAGCACTCTTAAATGTAACTATACTCAAAACTACAACTGCTAAGACTCAAAACAAGCAAGAATACACTATCTCGATTTGGCTTAATCCTGCCCTAGACAAGGCACTTTTACACAAAATTAACCTGGAATAATTTTGTGCTTCTAAATATCAAGGCAACATATTAAAAAAGGGCAAAAAAAAGTGAACTGCCTGTTTAGTCTCCATGATTATTTTTTTTAAATAGTTCTACCTTCTCCACTGAAGTTCTACCCTGTTCTTCCTCATCTCCATGTTGCAAGTTGAATCACTCTTACAAGCCAGCACCCACCCTTAAATTTGATTCACCCACACTTGCCTCCTCATTACAAGTACCACCTTGCAGATTTGATCAAATCAATCAATTAAACCGAATACACTAAAAATACTACTGGCCAAAAAAAAGGCATTACAGGAAGACTCCCCATTGTTTACTAATTACCTCTGGCAGTCCAGGCATAATGTTGTCATGCAAGCAGGGCAATTCAGAACAGCATCACTGTTTGGAACAGCTGCAGGTTTCCTCTGCCGCTGCTGGGGCAGCGCTCTTCTTCCATTATGGTATCTACCAGGTCAGGTAAGGAGGAAGGGGAGACAGGAAGTGAAATTACGTGCCACTGATGTTGGGCATGTCCATTCAACTGTCAAACCTTTTCTATATTAAAACACACCAATTAATATTTGTCTCTTTCTGGACACCTTCTTCAGTAAATTAAAGCATATAAAGAATTAAAACGGAGGGGAAAAACACATACCAGTCTCTTTTCATTTACTTTGCACAGAAAATTTTAATTTGGAGAGACAAATAAGCCTGGCATCAGAATTTGTGCCTACTCACCCTGTCCCCTGGTGAGGCAGGTATCTCAAGTGCAATCTCTGAAGGCAACATACATTAATATAATCCTCTTCAACAGATTTACATGGAGAATTTTACTTCTGCTGCAACGACCATTTTTTTTTATTTCACCCTTCAAAAAAATCCTCCATAAGGCAGCTTTGTGCTGTTCCTATTTTATCTGAACATTTTGTGACTTGTTCAATTCAGTTTTCCAAAACTAGACACACAGTACTTAGCAGGAACAGCTAACAATTTAGCAACCAAAGTACCTCACAACCTCTTAATCCACGCCATAGTTATTCAGATGACAGCTACAGATAAAACTGGCTTACAGAACTAGGAAGTCTGGATTTTAAAAAATTGCAAGTTTTAGGACTCTGTAATTTTGAAGACTCAACTCCCTTTATGGAGACATAAATATTCTACAGGCTTTTAAGTTCAATATGCTGTAAATTCTAAATAAGAAATGTTTTCACTGCATGGACTTGACAACAAAGGGTTTTTCTCTATTCACCATTTTCATTTCAATTTTTATGTTAAACATATTATAGTTCAAATATTTATGGTCTCTTACCCCCTCCTTTGTGAGTCTACCCACTCTTGGTCTCTACTGTCTTCTTCTGGGTCATACAGCAGTTCATCATTGGAAAGAACCCGACGCTGCTGATGTTTTCCGTTTCTCCGGGTGTCCTGTGCAACTGGAAAGATTTGTGTGAGCACGTTACATCCATCAGACATGTGAGCATTCTCTACTTAAAGAATCAAAACACCAGTTTTTCTTTCCACACTCACAATAAATCTGAACTAAAACATAAGGGTCCAGCTCATCTCTTCTCCAAGTGCACCACCCTAAAGCATTAACGAACCTTAGTTACAGGAACTACAATGAGATGACACAGGCTGGTAATTCCCCTGTGAAGGCCTCTTTCAGGAACAGCCCCTTGGCCCCCTAGGAACATTCTAAAGGATCAGAGAGAGAGTATGCTACTGTGAAGATGTCCTCCTCTCTTCTCTCCTCAGACATTTACCTATTTTATCTTCATCCTCTGAATCAGAATCAAAGTAAATGTCATCATAGTACTTTGAAGTCGTGGCAGGTCCAGTCTGCCCCGTACTTGAGGAGGAACCTGTGTGCGAAATGAGAAGTGGTAAGAACACCCCACCCAAAGGACAAGCACATGGCCCAGAACAAACCTTTGCTTCCAAGTTACTGTATCTAGAAGTGCTCTGCTTTATCTGGGTAATTTAAATAATGGCTCTCCCAATTTATTCCACATCCTGACCATCCACATCCCTCATGTCATCTCAGTTACAGGTGCTCTCTCAGAGCAAAGCTGCTCCCTCCCTCCAAGATGAACCTCGGGTAGAGTTCAAAGGGAAGTTTCTCCCCTGGCACGCTCCCTTTAAGCGTGGAGGACGCCACATCAGCTCTCTCTGCCTCTGCCTTACATTCTGCACACAATCTCACAAGTTCCACAAACCTTCCGTCACGAGAAAGACATGCAAGTGTGGCACACTGTTTCACAAACTTTTACTAAAATAAAATTCACTAAAAAATTCCCTCAAAATTTCAGGGCCACAGAATTTCAGAAAAGACCTAGATGAATTGCCAAGCATGTGCCACAGCCAGTCTGCATCAAAAATCCTATCCTGTGCTGGATGGATATGGTGGTGTAAATCCTGCTACATCTTAATTGCACAAACAAACCTAAAGATCAGATTGGCCCACTAATACAGACTAAACTAATAAATCCACTGAATGCTGAGTGAAGTCCCTACACTGAAGGGAATACTGCGTTGATTCTCCAGGAACACCAATTGTTTTGAAATAGGTAAAATGAACACATGCTCTTCAAACGCCAAAGAGGTCTATTTCTTCCATCCATAGCACACAAACTCCAGAACACATCCACCTTTAATACAGGTTTACTATCTAGAACACATCCACCTTTAATACAGTTTTACTATTTGATGTAACCACTATAAGCAGATAAGGTAGGAGGAGACTGATACTTTTTCTGACATTTTCCCCCAACTGATCTGGGGTTTCAGTCTACCATATGCTCTCTCTTTCTTCAAGAAAGGGTGCCAAAACTGGATAGCCACCCCGAGCCACCAGAGAAAGTACAAGAGACCGCAACCTGCTCAAGAGACTTCCAAGTACATGTGAAAGAATGGCTTAAAGCAGAGATACAGAAAAAAATGGGGACTGATCCAACAAAGGAGACATTATATTAAAGCAGGAAATGAGAATCATAGAATCATAGAATC